ACTCCACAGTGCACCTGTAAAAGCTGGTGAGGACAGAGGTGGACACCCCAGCCTTCTTTAGGCGTCTGAGGAAGTGAAGTCGTTGATGGGCTTTTTTGGTGACCGCTGCTGTATGTTCTGAGGACTTGAGGTTGGCACTGAGGGTGACCCCAAGGAGCCTGAAGCTGCTGACCCTTTCCACGGCACCTCCTCCGATGTAGATAGGGGGATGAGCTGCATCCTGCCTCCTAAAATCCAAAACCATCTCCTTGGTTTTGCTGATATTGAGAGAGAGGTTGTTCTCCTGGCACCACTCTGCCAAGAGTCTCACCTCCTCTCTGTAGTCCGTCTCGTCGTTGTTGCTGATCAGGCCGACAACGGTGGTATCATCAGCAAACTTGATTATTGTGTTGGAGCTGTGTCTGGACACACAGTCGTGTGTAAACAGGGAGTACAGTATTGGGCTCAGAACGCTTCCCTGTGGTGTGCCAGTGTTGAGGATCATTGTGGTGGAGGTGTTTTTGCCGATCCTCGCATGCTGTGGTCTGTTGGTGAGGAAGTCCAGAACCCAGTTGCACAGAGTAGCACTGAGTCCCAGCACCCGCAGCTTCTGGATCAGCTTGGAGGGAATAACTGTGTTGAATGCAGAGCTGAAGTCCACAAACAACAGTCTGGCATAGCAGTTCTTATTTTCCAGGTGAGCCAGGGTGGTGTGGATGGTGTGTGAAATGGCGTCGTCAGTGGATCTATTGTGACGATATGCAAATTGGAGGGGGTCCAGACTGGTCGGAATGGAGCTCAAGATGTGCCTCATTACCAGCCTTTCAAAGTAGAGGATGAGCCAAGCCACACTAACCTATCAAAATGCCATTGAAGGTCTTACGGTTTGGTATGGTGTGGTTTAGTGTTGTGTGGTGTGTAATATGGTGTGGCTTGGTATAATGGGATGATATGGTGGAGCAGTAGTTCACGAGAGGAAAGCCATACAGAAGGTAATGAGGTTGTCTCAGAAGACCAGAGGAACTGCTGTCTCGCAGATATGTATTTCCCGCTACTGCAGTAAATAATAAAGTATATTTTGGTGCCTAACCACAAGCTGTTCTCACCCTCAGAGTCTGGTAGGAGGTTTCACAGCAACAGAACCCTGACTAACAGATTTAAGAGGAGTTTCTTCCCTCAAGCCATATGCAATAGGACATCTAAATCTGGACTACTGCAATATCACTTGCACTTCTGTGAATTGCAATGTCTTTTTTTTACTTCACCACAATATGGCACCTCTATTGGCCATTTTTTATATATATATTGCTGGCTGTTTGTACTGACTGCGGCTGAGCAAATAAGCATTCCAATTCACATGGTCAATTAATTAAACAGCTTACATTTTCTGTCTTGAATCTTTCAGTGGTGTAATATTCACATTTCCTTGTGTCTTTGACAGATTATTTCCGGATTAAGAATTTTAAATCAGTGTTACACAAAAGTTAGTGGGCAGCTTCAGAGTATAACGCGTTGCGTTATAGGTGATATTAAAGCGATCCTGGTAAACATATCACAACCATAGGAACCGTACTGCCCGCGTCTTTGTTCTCCGGGGACGGAATTTAGGGGGACACCGCGTTACAGCGGCGGCTATTGTGTTTCCAGGGGAACAGCTCCAACGCTTCACAGAAGATGAGTGTAAGTAAGCGTGCAATTCATCACTGACAGTTACTGTTATTTATTTATTTTTTTTCGTTGAGGGGGATGTTTCCACTCATTTCAAAGCGAAGATAAACACACTTCACGGTTGGTGTTCGACTCCGTAGACAAAATAAATCGCAGTTACTTGTCCTTTGATTTCACTTAATGGGTGGAATAGAAACTACGCACAAACATTGGGATCCCAGTATTTATATTGTTATTTGCACTTATGTCCCTTTTTATTGGGGAACAGGAGGATGGTATCATGTCTAATGGCACCCAAGCTGAACCATGGATCGAGGAGTTGATCCAGAACTACGGAACTCGGCAAAGGACCGCCAGGGTGCTCGCTCGTGTTTTAAGGGTACTGGAATGCCACGCAGCACATTTTCTTAATTAATTTGCTTTAATCCGATCTTTGGACCGATGCACGGGGACCGCTGTTCTTGATGTTGTTATACTGTGTCGCAGGTTGGTGAAGCGACAGGCTCTCTGAAGGAGCTGGATGAGGATCCGGTGGCACTCCTTCTTCTGTCTGACGGACCGGCTGCGATCCGTGGCCTCCTCACTAGGGAGGCATGGCAGAAGTTTCTCAGGTGCAAAACACCAGCATGACTTTCATAGTATACAATGAGACCAATCCATATTTTTTTAAGTGTCTGTATTGTTAAATACTGATTTAATCCTGGTGCTGCTGACAGAAGGCTCAGAATTTATAAGACCACAGTACACAAGAAAAATGTGAAAAAGGGAGACACTGGGAAGGACCAAAAACTAACCAGGTAGAGGGCAGAAGCAAGTGTCTAAATGCCAGAGATGACCTTCAACTTATGCAACAGAGCTTCATGAATAAGAGGACGACATCAAATGACTTTCAAAAACAATGGGAAACATTAAGTGGTATGAAGTGCACTGCTAGGACAATTCATGACAGGCCTCTAGAAGCAGGACTGAAGTCCCATAAAGCAAGGAAGAAGCCCTTCATTAATGAGAAACAGAGAAAGACCATGATGCACTTTGCAATATATATATTACACAGGTTTGTACTCATAAAGTGAGAAATGAGTGAAACTAAACATGTTGCTGTGGTCCTTTAATTTTTTCTAGAGCTGTATGTCCCTGACCTTCATGATGTGCCGTCCATCATTTAGACCTGTAATATGATCTCTGTTGACCGCTTTTGTGTCCTTCTAAAACAACCACGTCTCAAACACTTTTACAAATCGTACCAGGATTTTTTATGCTCTGGAGAACTGATTGTTAGTTACTAAGTAATTATATTACAAACAAGATAAGGTTGCATTATGGTCCATGAGCAAAACATTGACATTTACAGTAGTGTTGTTTTCACAGAGGCCCCCACAGCCCGGGGGCGGGTGAAACGTTCTCCAGCCTTGCAGGCCACAGCGTGTTGCTGCTCAGCTACAGCCTCATGGCCCAGAGGGAGGTGGAGGAGGTACAAATTGGCAGATCTCATCCGCTTCCTGCTGCTGCGAAACAGACACCGTTTCGATTTTATAGAGCAGCTCCCAGGCTTTTTAAGGTTAGACTTTAATGTTCTTCTTTTGAATACAACACTCTTCTTTGTTACCAGGGAAAATGGCAGTTGATGTTGACAGTCCATGAACTGACCACCACATTTACCCCTGGGGTTCATAAACCCCGCAGGTATGTGACCGACAGCAGAAGCCTGGGTGTTGAATCACATTCAAGCACAGTGGTTTGCTCATTTAGTAAAAGCAATAATTGGTAGAATAGGTTATGATTTTGGACACTGTGGTGTTACTGTTATGCGCGTCCAAGCAGCAGACATTTGGTGGAAAATGGGACAACATATTGGGGGACTGGGCTGAACTGGTCAACTCGGAGCTCCGAAGCAAGCACCAGCTCAGCTTATATCTCTGCAGCTCCATGCAGGGTTGTGGGTTGTGAGCGTTGCCATGGTGACCGGGAGTTCCACAACACATGTGGGCTGAGTCCCACGCAGCCACCTGAATGCTGCCCCCTGCTGCTTCCAGTGTCCTTCTGCATGCCTCTTTCCCTCTGTGTCTCGGTCTGATCTCTGTTGCTGGGACTGTGGCGGCGGATTTGTAAGATCTGCAGGAATCATACTGTACCAAGCCTGGGATCCACTGCAAGATGGCGACCATTTATAGAACGGTTTATTTTGCCGAACACAAATGCACCACAACCTGGTGAATGATGCAACGACATTTACAGTGCTGAACATAAAGAAGACATACAACGATGAAACCAACACAACGCAGACTTATGATATAACTGTTATTAAACGTAATTTAATCATAAGGTATTACTTATAAATAAACACAACAAACAAACCGAATATTAACTCTGTTTTGCATGCTGCAAAGCATGCTGGGTGTCTATCTCGGAAATACAGCATGCCGTGGCTCTGGGATGCTACAGTATACCGAGAAGCGTTTCTTAAATGACCTGTGGCCTATACGACAGAGCGGGGTTACTGGCTTATCGGGGTAACTTGTCGGATTTAAGGTACCACAGTTTAAATGGACTTCATATTCATTCACTTACATTTTGCACAGACTACCTTAAATCCGACAAGTTACCCCGATAAGCCAGTAATCCTGCTTCATAGTACAGGCCACTGGAATAAGGGAATATGATATCACACCGCAGTATAATCAAAATTATATGCCACATGCACAATAATCACCAGGGCTTTACATGACTGGCAAAATATTTGTCTGAACTATATGGACATTTCCTTACACCCACAAGTTGGTAAGCAAATTAATAGTACGCCTAAAATATTAATGAGGCGTATTGTGATGCCCAAAAGTTAGTAATCGTTATAATAATCCTTATGTTTATTAAATTCAGTTAGCAGCACACGTCACGTGCTACTGTTTTGGTACAGTCTTGTGAAAAAATTTAAACATTAAGTTCTTTATTAAGAAATATAATAATAATATTAAGATATATCAATATTAATATCTGTAGATAAAGGTGATGTAATTGCATCATCTATGCAAAAACAAGAAACAAATTCACTTAAAAGAACTAAGCTGCCAGTTCCTACTGAGGAAATAGTTAGGACATCCTCACATTCATTACTATTTAAAATGGCTAGAATTAGATCCAGGTGCATCACATCAGGTGGAATCAGCCATTCCACTGTCCAGAAAATAATTTACTAGTGGAGAACAATTAAAACAACTGGCAGCACGGTCAGGTCAGGCCATCCTAGCAAGTTCAAGATCAGACCGCAAGATGCTGAAAGAAGTCTCCAAAAATCCTAAAATGTCATCACGGGACCTACCGGAAGCTCTTGCCACAGTTGATGTCAAGGTACACGCACCTATTATTAGAAAGAGACTGCACAGATTTAATTTACATAGGAGGTAAAAAAAAACATCAGGGCAAGACTGAAGTTTGCCAGAGACCCACCTAGACAAGGACCAGGACTTATGGAACAGTGTGCTTTGGACAGATGAATCTAAAACTGAATTATTTGGACACAGAAACAGAGGACATGTTTGGCATAAGCCAAAGACTCTTTTGCTTTTGAGCAAAAGAACCCCATGCCAACTATGAAGCATGAGGGTGGAAATGTCATGGTTTGGGGCTGCTTTGCTGCAGCAGAACCTGGTCAGCTCGCCATCACAGAATCCACTATGAATTCTTCATCGTATCAGAGGGTGCTTGAGGACAATGTGAGACCATCTGTCCATTAGCTATTAGGGCATAGGGTGTCCCAACTTTTTCCTCGGTAGGGATTGGCATCTTGGTTAATTTCTTTTAAGTGAATTTGTTTCTTGATGCAATTACATCACCTTTATATACAGATATAAATTGAAAGATGATTTAATATTGATATGTTCATATTTCTTAATGAAGAACTAAATATTTAATGGGGCATCCTAATTTTTTCACATGACTGTATATCTTGTAAGTGATAAGCACTGAAGTGGAGGTGAAGAAAGGGACAGATCAGCAGCTGCAGCATCTTGATCACTGATTATATGTGACATCATGCAGCCGTAAGATGGAGTGTGTGTGAGGGGGGTGTGCTGTTGTCACTGCGCCCTCATGCTTTGTGCGTCGGGTGTCTTTCAGGTCTCTGCAGGAGGGACCTTCCTGTGACAGTGAACCTTGCTGTTCAGGTTCGTACTGCCCCACCCAAAATGTGTATGCATGTATTGAGTTGTTAGGAATTTTAGGGTGACCCCAACAGCACCCCCTCATGTCCAAACAGGGCATTGAGGGAGTCATCCAGACAGTCATCAATGTGGCGCTTTCCCATTTTACCCAGAGTCCCCTGTGACGGCATGTCAGGACAGACTGAGCTCTCTTCTGCTGGAAGTTAGGGGGCTGCTGTCGCCCCCCCGTGGCCCTGATTGCCAGGGCTGTCCTCTGACTGCCAGAACGAGATGGGATAGAGACAGGATCAGGTACAAGGTGGGTAGCCAGTCATTTATAAAGAGCAGCTATACTGAGAAGTGTCATTAAATGTGGGAATGGTGGACATGAAGGTAAAGGTGATGGGCCTTATGTTTATCTGCTGAAATATCATAGAATCTGTTTTGAAATTCTGGCCTGGGGGCCTGTTAAGTTACATTGACTGTAAAAGCTAAAGGAAGCTGCTGTTTCTTTAGATAGCACTAAATCTGCTTTAGACAGCACTAAATTTCATTCAGTGAAGCATGGGATAAACTAAATTACCAAATTTGCTGCTGTGCATTTCGTAGCAAACTGCCTTCAGGGGCGTGTTGGACAGGAATCAACACAGATGACCAGCAACTGACTGTAATTCAAAATTCACCTGGAAGCTTCATGTTAAGAATGAACTTGGAATATCCCGAACCACTTTTTGGTACCCCGATCTGATCCATTCAGTATTTATATCTGTGGATTGCAAATTCCAATATGATCTTTTAATAAATAGATAAATAAACATTCACATACAGCAAGCCTCTGTTCATTCTTTATCTGAGCAAGCTTCATGATTTGGTGGTATTCTTCCTTATGCTGTTACTGCAAGTGCCTAATTATATCTGTTGTATTAAACATCACTCTGCTGCTACCTCCTCTCCACTGGACGGCACTGCAAACACTGCAGGAAGCTGCGGGGCTGCTTTGAGTTTCCACTCAGCCGATGTTTCGATGATTTATAGCTTCAAGCCATGTGCCTTAGGCGGTACTGCAGCGTGTGACGGCAGCGGACGATCGGCGCAACTCGTGTGAATTAGGCAGATGCAGGAAATTAAATAGATCGGGCTTTGGTAGCCAGTACCGATCAATTATCCCAGTGACTCGGGATATCACTGGAATAAACTACGTGACTAGCCTTAGTCAGACCTTCAGGGGGTGTAATTCAGTTGATTAGCCTTCTCCCTGTCTATGCTTGCTGCATTAGTAAGACAGCTTGGTGTCTGTGACCCTGTTTCAGGACGGCGCCGCATTCTCCATCCCTGTTTCCTGCTGCTATATCTCCGAGCGCCAGATGGAGGCGATGCAGAGGCAGGCCGCCAGCCTGTGTGTTTCTGTGACATGTAATTCAGGTAACGCCCCCCTTCACCTGTAGCCCAGAAACCGAGCCCGTCTGTAGCTGCCGTGTCACCCCCAGCTCAGGTGGACCTTGTTCCTGTTTCAAACACCATGGTTCCTGTAGACAGGGAACCTCGATAACTTGCAAGCTTGCAGATTTTGTTAGATCACTTACCGTAGTCTAACTGTGCTGGTCAATAGAGAGGTTTTCTAACCCTATGGCATCACCACTGTCAATCACATGTGTTTGTGTGTGAGTGCACTGTCTTGCACTGCTTCATTGCAGTGTTTCTTAATCCAGTTCTCAGGGACCCCCAGTCAGTCCACATCTTTGCTCCCTCCCTACTCCCACCACACCGGTTCCAGGTATGCAGTGTTCTTGATCGCTGGATTGTCTGGTTCAGGTGTGCTGGGAGCTGGGAGCTGGGAGGGAACAAAAATGTGAAGTGTCTTGAGTCCTAGAGGACCGGGTTGAGAATCACTGGTTTATAGTGTATGGGGAATGAGAATGTGTGTTTGTTTCTGACTTATTTCTTTGCCTGTGGCCAGGTGAACTGGGGGAAAAGGGTTATCCTCACAGCCCTGACCCGGAAAACGATTCTCTCTTGGAATTTGGGAATCAGGAGAAGGTGCCCATTAACCCGTGGGATAGGTTCGCTGCTGAGGTCGGAATCAGAACACCGTCGGAAGAAGGTAGTCCCGTTCACTTCCTGGTGGGGGCAGCACTTCTCCCTGTCTGCCAGTTTACCAGTAAAGGTGCCCAACCTTGGCTGTGCGGAGAATCGGCCAGAGGCTCATCACAGCGTTTTTATTTCCTGTGACTCAGGGTCAGGGTCTGTCAGCCCCGAAGGCCTTCCTGAAATAGACGACACACCGCTGTGTCCCCCGCAACCCCATCACTCTCAGCCCGACGTGGTTGCCATGGCAACAGGCAGGCAGATGTCAACCTGGAGCAATAGGCCGGCCCCATGCGAGAAGCAGGCTAATGAAGGCCTCGATTCTGCGGGAGGCTCAGAGCAGCTGAGAAGACCTTCTAACCAGAGCGGCCACCCCCCTGCAGAGCCCGCGTCAAGCTCCACTGCGTCCCCCTCCCCCGTGTGGACACCACTCTTAGCCAATGATGTGACCCTTTCCCTTGACCTCGGCCCAGGCCGCTCCAACCTCAGGCTCCACCCCCGGATCCGCCCCCCACTACCCACACCCCCAGTTTGTGAACTGAAAACTCAGCAGGAAGAAGAAGTCCTGCTGAGTGAGTCAGTAAATAGAAGTCAGAGGAGGAAGAGGCCTCTGTTGACAGTAGACGAGCACGTCAGATTCAGGGACGACGAAGAAGACCAGGAGGAGGGCGGGCTGCATGAGGAAGAAGAACCCAAAATTCTCACTGGCTGGGACTCCTGCCCTTCAGGACCAGGGACTGTCAGGAGCCTGATTAAGCCCCGCCCCAAGCATGCACATCCCCCAGCCTCTCAGGGTAGGAAGGTTTTACACATCACTCTTCCCTGCATAGTGATAAGTGACAACTTAATATTTACTGGGGCAAGCATTAACAGTATGTTTTAATAATAGCACAATCATAAATTATTTTACATCTAATAATCTAATTGATAATCTAATGTATAAAATTAATTCAATATGCACGGTGGTTTGCGAACGGTCCTGCTTCCACCTCTGTTGCAGACTCACCCCGGCGGCTCAGCTACACCTACGACCCAAAGGGCTGTGTGGCACAAGCCCCCCGCCATCTCAGGTGAGCGGTGGAGGATGGGGGGCCTGGCCCAGGCTGAGGAGGAATACCACAAGCCGTCCTTAATTCACACAAGTCACACCAGCACTGCTTATTTCACTCCAGTTTATTGGAAGTTGAATTAGAGTCAAGGGACACCGGCCGTCAACCAAAGTGAAAATTGTCATAACGCTTTTCTACAGAATTCAGCTGGGCCAGGAGCAGATGAACAGGGATTACCGCTACTCATGTGCGGATTGCTTCAGAAGCTCAAGGAGGTGTACAGGGGCTTGCTGGTCAGCGCCGTATCCTCACGGCGTATTTAGTGCGTTTGCTGTGTTTCTTGTAGGGTTCGTGATGACATCTTGCGGTGGACAGTGAGGTACCTGATCCACAAAGTCCCCTATGAGAGCACCAGCTGACCTTCATCAGCAAGCTGCACAACCCAAGTTCCTGAGGATGAACTCTGACCCTTAACTCTCATTGAACTGTAACCCCATTAGTATGAACCAGAATAAAACTGCTCTGTTCCTTGTTCACATGAGCAGTAAGCAGTAGTAGTATCCGTTTACGTGTAATCGGTCATTTGATCTGGACTGGTGGGTTTCTGGTGGCAGTAGGACTTCAGGTAAAACATTGGTGGACTGTTCCTCGGTGTAGAGCAGCAGCTTTAACCGGACCATTTTCTGCACTTCCCCCAGATTGGCTCTGGTGTGTCCCTCAGGTTAAAGATAACCTGATAAGCTCTTTTCAGAAGAACCAGCATCTCCAGCTCACTTCCTCTGTTCTTTCAGTTTGTCTCCTGCTGAATCTGGGGAAAGACCAGGAGGGGGGCGGGCTGCATGAGTCCTGTAGCCACTGGGGTGGGGCAGTGGGAATTGTAGTTTTTCTTCAATGTGCAGAGGCTGGGAAGTGTAGTTTTTACAAAAGGCGTGACGTACTGCTCAATCATTAGAAGTCACAAAAAGTGACTGGGTGGAAGGTGAGTCACTAGCATTGCCCAATCCGATGCCACTCGCAGTCTGCTCCATCCAGATGTTCCCTTTGTCAAGTCGGGTCGGCAGTGTTGGGCGCTGTTCAACTTGGGTTCTTGTGTTCATGTTCTGGTGGGTGATGTCTGCTTGGCGAATTTAGTCTCTGCTCAGTGCCACTCCAGCTTATCATGGACTGTGTCTTTGTTAGGTAGGCCCAGTACATTCATCCACTCCATGTCACTGTTTAACCATAAGTATTGGGTAAGCAGTAGGTCTACAGTCTTACGTCAGGTATTTCAAAGCCATTATTATGTTCATATGAAAAGGGTCTATGATAGGGATCGACCAATATCATTTTTTTCAAAGCCAATATTGATTATTGACCCGTGAGACTGATTATCAATCACTGAAGCCGATATTCTGTAAATTTAAAGTTTTGAGAAAGTAACACAATTTCTACACAAATCTCGCATTAACTGAAAATGTTAAATAAAATTTTAAACATTACAACAATAATTGCTTGAAAAGTAACTTAAATGGCTCAAGAAATGATTTCCCGAAACACAAAAAACTGGCAAAAAAAACAAACTGCACGCATTCAATAAAATGAAATTTAAACTTCACTACTGCAAAACTAAAAACTAGGTAACATAGGATGGAATATGTTACCTAGGTGCAGGTACTGTCAACCTTTAGTGCTTTTGAACTTACAGTTATCTTTCTGTCTCTGATACACAGCCTCTTTCCTCAGCTTACACTTGTATCCAGAGAAAACCATTTACTGGTTTAAGTTGAGGTGAACTTGTTCACATTTCAGCCAGTCCATACAGTGGACTTTGTGAGAGGTCTTGTCAGAGACGTGTCAACACGCATGATGAGACTTTATCGGTAACATTGGGTAAAAATAAAGTCCTGATATCGAAAATATGATGAATATCGACTGATAATCGGCAGAACTGACAATTGGTCGATCCCTAGTCTTTGAGGCTCTTAACACACTACCCTTGGTCAGTTAATCTCTTCCCTGATGCCTGAAGAACCCCCCCCCCCATCCCAGTGGTACCAGTCACTTACCCCCTATGGTAGCCAGTCCCTGCAGATGTTGCTTCTGGTCTCCAGAAGGTTTGCACCATTCCCATGATACCATTCACTGGACAGATGTGCATTGGGAGCTGTGCTTTTAGTTTTTTTTTTCTTTTTCCAGAAACAGGACATTTTTGAGGCAATTAACCAGATAATTAAATAAATCTTAAATAGATCCCAACAAGAACAGGGAGCAATCTCCCAATCAACCAAACCATAGAACCACCGGCATAAACAGAATTCTCGATAAGACATCTGAATGGAATTTTTAATAATATTTAACAAGTATAGACACGATCTTCCTCTTTTTTTTCTTAGTTTTGTTGCTTTTTTTGTCTGGCGTGCAATGCAAAGGGACACGGTAGAAAATAGACTCTGCGTACGGTCAGTTCATGTCTTTGAGGAACTGTGGGGGATCAGTTCTTTGGTCTGACGGCCCTCCCTGCACGTTGTGCTGCAGTGTCACCATCTCGCCCCCTGTCTCCTTGCTCTGCTCGCTCTCCCCGCTGGTTCTTTTGCCTGCTGAGGGTTGGGGGGGGGGGGGGAGGACACACAAGAACTCACATTTAATTTTCAGAAGCCTGTCAGTGTAAGACTCGCTCAGTACGTTTACATGCACAGCCTATATGGCTATAGCTTGACTACGCCATTTAACTGTCATTAACATTTAGACTACTGTCCTTGTCCCAGTATACATGTATGGGATGGGAATCAATTTATTGACCGAAGTACGTCTGACTCCGCTACAATAGATGGTGCTATGGCTCCTTTCAGCTTGTTAGTATTGGGCTTTCCAGTTGACCTATTACGTCACAGGCGTAAAAATGAATAAAATTAATAATAATGGATGCGTGGACAAATGTGACACAATTAGCTTCAATTGCAATCTGGTCAGAAGAATAGATACACCAAGATCAGGATAGTATAGTAGGAAATCAAGTATTTTGTATAATATACTATGTATGGAATTTTACACTGATTTTGTTATTGGGGTATTTATGAAACTTGTTTCTCACATATTTCTCACAAACCTGTCTAGGAGTGATTTAAGCAGCAAGGATGAACATTATTATTGTCTCAGAGAAGGCATGCAGCACTCATGCAAAAGCAGTGGAGTTAAACTTTAAACTACATAGCCTTGAAAATTAATAATCATTAAAATTGCAAAGCTAAGCGTTTTTTTCTATGACAGAGTAAAAGCGTTTTAGCGAATCTTAAACTGTCCGCATTATAATGTCCATATACAGAATTTAAAGTAAGAAAAAGCCTGATCTTAATTTAGTTTATTTATTTATTTGAACAGGGACAATGTACAAAATACATTAACCTCAAAAAAAGGATAGATGCTTTGTATCAGGTTATAGCACTATTGCTAATTCACACCTGTAGTCCCTGGACTGACTAGTGATGTGAGAAACGGACGTGCATAACATGCGATGTTGGTATTAATATGTCACGTCCTCCAGTCCCACTACAGCCATTTCTCAAATTCAGTATAAAATACTCGCGTTGTGATGCCTTTCGGCACCGGTACCAGTTTCCAAACCAACACCTTGAAGTACTGCACTTTTGGTATATTCTTGAAGTACCAAAAGTATGGTACCTGGTACGGTGGAAAAACACCCTTTAGTTAAGCAATGAATTGGATAGTTTTACAGAATTGTACATTTCGTACGTGCTGTATGTCCTCTGCTACGCTCCGTGCTTTTTCTGTGTACCAGCTTCTTCTGGGGTGGGGTGGGGTGGGGTGGGGGGGGGACTGTGGAGTCTGACTTCGAGAAATTCGATTTAGTGCGATTTCAGTCAGACTAACATGTTTGCATGTACTTTAAAAATGTTTTAGTCGGTTGTAGTCGGGCTAACACAATAATTAGATTTTCTTATTGTGTATGTAAACGTACTGATTGACCACCAGGGGCGATTGTAAGATTCTGGGGGAAATTAAGGGGCCAACCTTATCATTAACCAATGATTTGTTTTGAATCTGTGAGTGACAGAGGAGGGGGTGCTCTGGGGGCCGATCAACATTTTGTTGGGGCCAGTGTCTGTGTGGCTCCGCCCCTGTACTCGCCCATGGTGACCACAGAGTTGTCAGGGGCCGCTGTCAAAATGGAGGACATCCATAAATTCAGTATTTTGTTTACTACTTACAAACACAACTGCATGCTGGTGGATGAAATGGGGGGCGAGACTGGCATTTCACAGCTGTTACTTCATTGGTGCTGGGCATGCCACTCATTGCGTGCTATCAGAGCTCATTTTTCCATCTCTACAAATCACCATGCTAAGTAGTCGAGACGATACTGGAAACCCCAGAAGAAGAGTTCTACAATCCTTAATTCAGTAACATCTCCTAATCAACAGATGGCTCAATTTGGTCTGATGCTATACGCCAAACACTGATGACAGAATAATGATGATGGATTGCAGTCAATAAGCCGTTTTATCCCCAGTGCCCCTATTGCAGGAGATCTCGATCCGGCCAACTTAATAAGCTGCTCTTCACTTTCTTCCGGACATTATCCTCCTCTCCCTGCAAATTGTAGGTATTTGTCTGAATTATGACTGCGCCACTCAGGTATAGTAAATGTGAGCTGTGATGTCATAGTGGCACTAGATCATAGGAGCCACTAGCTGAAGGCATGGGGGTCACATGGCTGCCTGTGTCATGGCGATGTGCAGAGAGGAAGCTCCCTGTGCCCCTCGATCCCCAGCTCACCCTCATCTCCTTCGGGCAGAGCCTCGCTGCAGGGGGCCAGCTCCCCGTGATTGGCCCACTTCCGCACCGGCGACCTCTGCAGCCGTGGCAACGCAGCCTTCAGCTCTGAGGGCATGACAACATGTTAATAGCATCCTGGTGAACGTGTCCTCAGTACACCAGTACGTGATTTGAGTTAAATGCTTTATGTTACACTGATTGGATAAAGCACAAATTCTTAGACAGCTGATTGGCTATAATCAAGCGAATGAGGAGAAGGGTAGGTCTGTGAAGGAGCAAACCTAAGGGGACGTCGAAATTGCATACTTACACAGTACATACTGAATTTCATTAGAACTCTACTACTCGACCATTAATGTAATACATACTGTATGCATGCACGAGGACAGTATGCATGTACTGCGTTGCCGTCTTGTGTATTACCTAACCCGAATTTTTACCAATGATGTAGCTTGACCCTCATAAAAGTTAAAAACTGTAACAAACTATCAATGAAAAAAATACATATTCGAGTCAACTAATGCAACTGGATTTTGTTTTCTGCTGGTTTGTGTGGAGATCGCACTTTCTCCACCATCTTGAAAAAAGTTTATAAGCAAGCCACATTCTTCGTCTGTTTTCAGCTCCGGTTGCCTTGTGGGACAGCGTAGTATCCATTGGTTACACACTTCGGAATTCCATGCATGTTGTTTACTAATAGAATGTATGACCTGGGTACAGATCACCTACTGTCTTGACATACTCTCATCGCATACTATGTTTCATGTTACTATGTACATAGCAAACAAGTTTGTCATTTCAGAGGCACCCAGGGACTTGCGCCCCTATGAGATATGCCCACGAGAGCCTGGGCATGATGCCATTGACCTCAGTGGCACAGGAAGTGAGATGATTGGTGCCAGGCTCACCCTCAGGGTCCAAAAAGGCGGCCTGTTCACGGAGCGACTCCTCATGGACGGAGATGGCGCGGCGCTGGGGTGAGGGCTTGGTCCGGGGACGTGGTTTGGGGAGGGTATCTGCAGGACAGAGGGGCCCTCAGACAGTACACCCACAGGGCAGAAATTCACTCTGTGCCTCCGGATTAAGACGGTGAAACCCAGTTACTGCGTCGCTCTGAGCTGGTCTGGGCTCAGCGGGATGTGAAGGCTCATACACACAGCACATAATCACATAAAAGCCGGTTTGTTTCCATCACAGAACGAGAGGCTGCATTCACATTTTAAATGCTATCGGCTATCCGATACGGCTGCCTGGCCGGTGTATGTTTTGGATTAAGTTACGTGAATTTGTCTTCATTCTGTTCATGCTACTGCAGCATTTCAGGAGCCATCTTTAGGAATAACAGCTGTATCTGATATTTTGCTGTTAGCGAGTGTGGAACATATAAATAGCACTAAGATATACTGTCTGAAATAACAGTAATGTCTGAATGAGTATTTATGTGTACCTTCAGTGACTGACTGCGCCCGTTCCGATCGGTCGCGGCTGTCTCCCGGGACAACCGTCCTGCGTGGCGATGGAACTGGAGGGATCTCCCTCCAGGGACTGGGAGTCTCCCTGCGGGGACTGACTGATTCCAGCAGCTGAGCAGCCCCAGGCTCGGCAGGGGGGCCCTCACGGGCGGGACTGGACTGGCTGGTGGTCCATGGGGATGTCCTGAGGGCTGCAGGGGACTCTGGGGTCAACAGTGGGGGCTTGATGATGGGTTTGGGGGTGAGTGGACTGGGGCGTTCCGGGGGGGGTGGCCTCTCGACGGCCTCAACAGCCCTGAGTGACTCCAATGCAGTCATTCCACCCCGCACAGGCCGTCTTGTGTCTGTGGGGGGGGGGGGGTGTCAGTGCTGATCAGTCATTGCTCTGTCACGGTAAAAGTCCCCGGTAAAACCATTCACTGCCTTCAACAGCTGAAGGTCATTTGGAGAAGCGCGTGTGCCTCACCTGAGGAAGTGGACATGGTGCGCGGCTTGGTGGGTGGGGGCTCGGGTTTGCTGTCGATGATTGTCCCTGGAAGAGAGACGCACGCACGGCGATGTCATGAGACAGAGGCCCACATTGCCGGCGGGAACCGGGCAGTGAGATGGGGGAGCGTGATGATTTAAGTACACAGAGGGGTGAGCCCAGCGGTGTGTGCAGGGGGCGGGGTCACAGGCCACAACTGAAAGTTGATTGGCCACCAGAGTACCCCATCTCCTGTCAGTCATTGATTCAAAGTATATAATTGGCTAATGATAAGGTTGGCCCCTTTTATGCTCCCTGACGTCCTGCTGGAGTATGACGGGTGCGCAGAGTGACCTGCTTACCCTCTGAGTCAGCCTTCCTCAGCTCGCCCTCCTTGTTTTGCTGGAAGGTACAAAGAAAATCCACCTAAATCCAATTTGTCACATAAATCCATGTTGCCATGTAAATTTATACCGCCGCGTCGCCCCCAGTCCTGTATGCTGACCGATGGGTTTTTAATACCAACTTCTGCCCCCCCCCCCCCGAATGATTCAGAGTCCCTCACAAAAGAACTGAAATCACAGCTATCAGAGCAGTGTGTTTACCCCCAGTTGGCCAAAATGCAGCTCTATAAACATTTTTCGACTGCTTCCCCCCCCCCCATCCCCCCACAGGCATTAAGTCCTGTACTCCAGCCTTTGGGACAGAGGGCTGTAAGTGGGCTGGTGCTGGGGGCTTGGCCGGGTCACAAACTGTCACACACCCACACTCACCTGCACTTTCTTGGGGTCAGGGGGTGACGTTTTGGTGACACCCATGCGGTGCAGCATTAGGTGGACGCGCTGCTCGAAGCTGGGAGTCCCTTCTGACGAGGGTTTCTGCAAGAGGACATGTCAGACTGAGCCCAAAGCCTCCTGGATCGAAGAGTGTTTACATGCATCCAGTCACAGTCCAGACTCAGTCACAGTACCGACTCAGTCACAGTCCAGACTCAGTCACAGTACAGACCCAACACTCTGCATGTTTAAAATGCTTACACAGGCCTAACTGCAGCCTCCGATTCTCCACAGCTTCTTAAACAAACACCCAGGCCCGGGACTGTTTATTGTTACACTTCCATTGTGGCCCTAAAACCAGTCGGAGGTGTCTAACTAAGGATCGCATCTTCTGGGCCTTTTGATCTCCACATAAGATGCAAAGAATCTGAATGGAAGGTTCTGGAACAAGGCCCTCACAGATGGCCCAGCGACGTTACGGAGAGGAGAGCAGAGCAGAGCAGAGAGCCCATATCTGCAGTTGCTGGCCACCAGCCAGGGTTGTGGAAAGGCACGACTCTGCAAGGTCAGGCACCTCCCAAAATAACGCCGGCCGATCGCTTTGCTGCCGCTCTCCCATCTGGACAAGCGCACATCTGGGATATCTGGGGAGAAGCATGAGGCTTCTGGGAGGCTGTGGGATAGACGCAGGCCGGTCCTCATCTGGCTGGTTCACTGGGCTTGTTTCTACAGGCCCTCCTACTGAACATGGAGGCCAGAGGGACAGCGGGGAGGCCAGAGGGACAGCGGGGAGGCCAGAGGGACAGCGGGGA